AATTCACTAGTACAACCCAATCCACAGCTGGTTAGTGTGAGTGGGACGAAACGAAAACGAAGACAAGTTCTGAACTACCAGCTGAGACAAAGGGGGGGGGAGGTGAGAGGGGTGATGTAGTATCCCGCTGGAGCTAAATAACTTATCTTCGCTTCCAGATCCCAACTTCAATTTTCCTCTATATTACGTGAAGCTACTTCAAATTTTACGCAAAAAATGTCCGAAAACTTTTTCACAATTTCTTAACTCTTCTGAAGACCCTCTCATCCTAACCAACTTCCACCCTTATTCTTACACTGGCCATTCCACAAAATGCGATCCCCTTCCCGGAGTGTCGAATAGGGCTCCTTATCAAAGAAGTTTCGACGAATTTTGTCGAAGCTTATTGGTTCTGTCCTCCTCTCTTCCTTTTAACCCACTTCTTGAAGTAACGAACTCATTCGCTCATTGGTCAACGAGTTAGAGTAGCGGGAACACTCTCATTGGTTAATAGATAATCAATATTTCCATAGATCTCACGAGCCTCGTAACCGCTCGTGCCTGAACTGTAACTGTTTCAGCCTCAACGAAGTGCCTTTCAAGCTGGTGCCTACCTACCTGACTTCAATTGTTTACTCATCTCAAGAATCTCCGTTCTGGACCATGTGGTCCCGAAATTCATTCCCAGTGCCCTATGTCATTCAGAAATTCGAAAAGACTACGTGAATAGTAGAATGTGTCAAGATGTACATTACTGTAGCTTCAACTTTTGTTTTTGATCCCTTAGGAGGCTAGTGCTCTAGCTTCCCTAGGGTTGTACAACGATACTCATGCTAACACAAAGTGCATATGACGTGTAGATACATCCCAATAACCAATGCTGTCTACATTCCCAATTGTATAGTATACTAGTTGTACGATATGTTGTTATATATTATCATATATTATTATGGAATTTTTGATACAATAAAGCAAATCACTTCTTGAAGTGCTTAGCAAATGGTGACTCATGTGGACGAATTTGTGATTGCCTTAAAGGTACCGCACACATTGCATAGGTGTAGGTCATGAGGTCCAGGTTGCGGCTGCGTGCAGAAATGAGGACGCCGCGAGAGCAGCAGCGTGATCACCCATTTCGGTGCAGTCTCTAGTGCGTGCGCCGCTACTTGAGAAGTCGCTCTCGCCGCGTTACCGCAATCGAGATCTCCTGACCCACAGGAGGATGCCAATTTTGTATTTTGCCAGGGTTGCTGCCAAGCTACTTAGTTGATTCCACTGGATTGCAAAGTGCCCTATCAAAAGCAAACAACTTTATGCTACCCATTCTTGTTCACCATTGTCTGCAGTGGCCATACACACCGAGAATAAATTGCGATTCATTTGGATTGCTAGTTTGAGAGATCATGCAGTGTATTCCGTTCAATGCCTAGTCCTCCACATATAACGTTCCTCTTCGCATTTGCTCCCTTTCAACTGCGTCAAAAAGCGCTTTGAAGTTGCCCGCACCGAATCCCTGAAATATTTGCATTCGAATAAGTCTAGAGGCATACAACGTTGTCTTTTGAAATGAATCAGATACACCAGATTGGACCGGAACAAAACCTTAGGCCCGCCTTACTGAACGTTTAGTGGCATGGTGAGTAACGGTCCAGGGTTTTTCGACAGAGAGGTCGCAGTTACCTTTATAAAAGTAAAGGCTCGTAATGAGGATTTTCGCGATTTCTTAGGTCGAAGAAATTGAAGCCGGGGATGTAGGGAAAACCGCAGCGTGAAATGTGCCGCATACATATGTCCCCATCCCGCTCTATCCATTTTTGAGGAGGTGGAATTGTATCGGTTAGGACCAGGTTCTACATTATCGACCATTGGTGAGGGGGAAGCGGGTAGGGGGAGGGGAAGTTGAGTAACTTTTCGCATGCCGGAGAGTGGGTCTATAGGTGATAATTCATCACAAACTGCCCCTGCGATGCCAACCTCTTCACAAATTGAAGTATAGTTATCACTTCTTCGCACCTAATTGAACTTATGGCAATCAATAACCATCTTTTCTACTTGTCACTTGTCATCGGAGCGGTGAAACGCGGTATTTTGACAAGCACAAGGCTAAACTTGCTCAACAGCTTTCACGCGCAGAGGGGAAAGTTCTAATTCCAACACTCTATCTCCTTTCTGATAAGACATTTTCATTACTGTGGACCGAACGACAACTCACATTGAAATTCCGTCTTTGGATGATTTCAATAAAAAGGGTTGGTCGATCTTGAACAGGTCTTGTGAACAACTGCAGCAGATAACCATTGTCGTCAAAATCCATCAGAATGCAGAGTTCCCGTAACTAAAAATTTGATTATAACAACACCAACGAAGCCAACCTATTAAGAAGGAAATATGCAAGTGAAAGACTTTGAAACTCGTGATGCAGTCACTACAGCACAAAACCCCAAATGTGCTATGCATCCATGGATGGATTGGATGCCCGACCATGGGGGGGGGGGGGTGTCAACCGTCCGTTCGAACTGTCTCGAACGGTGGGGTCGATTTGGGTTCTGGGAGGGGAGAGGGGTCACATTGAGCTTTGGTCATCATCAGGCAGGGNAGAGGTGCGTGTGAAAAAAGTTGCCGTTCCCTGGTTGAAAAAGTGGGTGGAGTTTCGGAGTTTAGGTTAGGTAGGTTTTGGGCTGTGTCACTTGGACGGGAGAGGTTCGCGATGGTGATGGCTGTTGTAATGGGGGGGGGGGGTAGCAAATGTCGATTGTGGGGTCGCAACCGAAGCGTGACGGTTTGACCCTGATCCGACATGCGAATCCCACTGCACGTCAACTAAGTTTTCTACTAGCTGCCACCTACTCCACACCCGGCCATTACTCTGTTCACTAAACATTGACGTTTCAAATGGCTGGCCATCGTAATATATTTAAAGAGATTGTATAGCTGAGTTGAAAAGCATGGCCGAATCCTAGAGGGATGCGCGACACGTTGCTCGTTTCGGCAGGCGTAGTTGCCTCCAGGCCTTAGCCAGTTCATACCCGCGCGCTCGCCGCGCAGCGACCATCTTCTCGCCTCTGATCGTAGCCGTTAGTCAAGACGAGACGGAGAGCGTTCGTTTGAAGAGCGGCACCGATTAGAGGACACCAATGCTCGAAGTTAAGGGAAGAAAGAGATATCAGCTGCTTGTTTGGACGCGTTTCCATTTTTCTCGCCCGCCCCGCCTAGTCACCTCTAACTTGATTTCTGTGGCTGCCCTTTTCTATGCGTAAGCTGAAGCGGAGTCGGATGGTCGCACCGGTTTCTTGAGCGTATTGGAGGGAGTGGAGGTGGTGATCAACCTGGAAAGTTTGCATTTCTGGTGGAGTGAGAACTTGGAGTTAGCACTTCATCTAACAGCCCCAGCGAAGAAACAGGAAAGAAGGCGCCGAAACATGAAACTCAGATCTTCGCAAGGGAAAAGAGGCGAGAGAGCGCACGTGGAACTTAAAGGCAAGATTCGGGATAAAATAGGTGTGGAAAAGCGTTCAGTTATGAAGCTATAGGTGGAGGTGGTCTGTAAAAGAGAAGGAAAGCAAACGAAACCACCGATTACGCCCCGTACAGAGACCTCCCCTATTTCAGCCACATTCCACCTTGATGGAATAGAGAATTGGACGAGTTTCACGAAGCTACTCTACTTGCTCCAGTGTCAATAACATTAGATCGCGCTGGGACCACTGCCTCAAATGCGCCCGCGCTTTCCAGGCTCACATAGCAAACCGACAGCGAAGGGTGGGGCTTGCGGACGAAGGTGTGAGTTGCGGGTTGGACGAGCTCCTTGCGCCTTTGTCGCGTACTTTCAAGCCGCAAAAGGGGCCCGACATCAACACTTGTCCACCTGCCTACTACCCCCTGGATGGAACAGGCGAGCCCGCCTGATCGCGGAGCGTGCCTTTAAGACGCAGGCACCCCGATTCACTGTAGCAACAAGAACAGCAGCTCAAGTGATAATTCTCTAGAGTTGTTGCGCAGTTTTGAGCCGCGAATACAGCACATATTCTACTATTGTGAATAGCTTTATCCCACTTATGAAAGAGGCTCACCAAACTGACTTTATCGTACTACGTGCCTTTAAGAAGCAATTTGAATTAAGAATGGAATCAGACCTTGTTCATGTCCTCTCGTAGTTCGACCTTAGAGTCTTTGAGCCGTTCTTCGAGCATGTCATAGTATGATGATGGAACTTCGAGAAATTCTACGGACCTGAATGAGTAGATCAAACGAAGGTATGGAAATCATTTGAAAGCCTCGGGACAAATTCTCAAACCTCCTCTTCATTTCTGTTACCGTAGCGACAATGTCATCAACGAGCAGCGCTATGTGCTGAATACCGGGCCCACCATTATACGAAACGTATTCCTTAAAAACGATGCAATTTCACTAGCAAATGAGCCTAGCAATGTCAAAGTGACCCAATGGAAACCTCTATTTGGCTCCTTCCCTTTCGGCCGGGTACTGCCTCTGCTAGCGTCATTTGGACCTTTTGATCATCATTGGTTATCAGCCATGCTTTCATAGCTGAAAACTCAGATGTTGTAATTTTGTCGTCAATCGACCTGAAATTAGCTGTGCGTAAAGCTCCTATCCACAAAGAGAATAGGTGCCAGAATTCAGAATATATTTACCAAAACCGCTGCAACGCCATACTTCGCTTGTACCAGTCAGCCGCATCTTCGATCGTGTTCACTGGATAGTTTTGCACCACGTGGTCCAGAAGTACAACCGGAATATCTTTCCTGCAAGCTGGCACTGCTCTCTGGTTACTTCCAAAAGAAAAGGTAAACAGGACCTTGACAGAAAGTATACTCACAAGTGCGTGCACAACGGGAAGTTGTCCACAGATGAGTAACCGGGAAGAAAAACACCCGAGAAATCTTTGTCCTCTATTAATGTATGAGTGATGTCACTGTCCTAAATTGTATTAGGTCGGCACATAATTTCTGAGCCACTTTACATTTATTGCTGTAAAAATATTTTGAAGATGCCTCAAGCACGCACCCTCATCTATCCGAGAAGAGAGGTCAGTGGCGCAGGAAGAAGAAAAATTCATAAGAAATGGCCCGGAATCCGAAAAATACGACCCCTCACTTGTCATTTGATTTCCGCGTCAATACGACTCTCATCGGGATCGTCACTAGGGACAGGAGGCGGCACCGCCGTCAAATAAAATGTACCGCCGCGGCAATGCACACACTATGCTATACC